GAGCTTTCCGCAGACCTTTATAGATCTGTGGGGTTGAGCGTACAGCCCTTTATGGAGCATGCAAACTTTATGAGGAACATTTTGACCCCATAGATAATGCCATTATGTCTGAAGGTTCAAGGAGCAAAAGACAATCTTTGGGTCAATGAAGGAGGATGATTGTTGGTTGCTGAGAACAATAGTGATTTTCCAAAATTTCTTGGATGTGGATCTGTAATCGGTGCGCTCTCTTGCATGACACGTAACTTTGGTTTTGTTTTAGAATTTAAAAACCACCGTGATGAACACCGTATATTACATTCGTTACGCTAACTTGACTAGCTTCTGCATCAAGTCATCGTCACGGTCCACGTCACAGTCTTGCATTCTCACTGTTCATGAACGGCAATTTAAGGTCAAGTCTCCACAGAACAAGAATTAATTTTGCCTTCAATACATTCGCTACATGGTAAACCGAAATCAAACGACCTTAAATTTGCATGGACAACAACGATCCAGGGTATCAACTGTTGCAGTCAATTACCGCAAAATTCCTGATCTTCTATCCATTCTGAATAGTCAATATTTTTTGGTACAGGTCTTTTGCAAACAAAATTACATGTGAAAACTTAATCATACTAAAGTACTGCGGCTTCCGAAGGGAGTTAGTTTCTCCCATCAAAATGTTGGTAACAGTATACAACCTGAACTGTAGTTTCAGCACAAAGGTACACACTGATACCATCTATCTTAACCATTTTAGTGCATTAACCAAGGCTACACGTAATGCTTCACTAAAAAGCAAGCAGCACGTGTAGATAACTATTCCCTCTTTACTGACTTCAGTCATACCTTATTTATGCAATAATAGCCTGTTGGGAAGGGCATATGATTGGCTCATCACTCAACAAGTTGTGATGAATCCAAAGAGACTGTACTAAAACACTTCTTACTTAAAGCATTAAAATACGACTTATTCTTGAACAGCTTTTCAGTGTACAGGTAAGGCATGCTAATGGGCTTAAGTCAAGACCGAAAATGAAACAAGTCATACCTGAAGCGTGGACAACATTCTGCAGCACACCTCTTGCAGGTCCCACTTTATCTTCCTGCCCCTTCAGACCTCAACCTCAAGGCACTAACCAACCTAACCAGATGTAAGTTGTTTTACACAATTCCAGAAAGCTGAAGAAATTGCAAGCAGACACTTCAGCTCTGTAGTGCTTAACGGCCCTATGGAGTCTCTAGTGAGCAGAACACATTACTAATGCAAGCCAAATACAAGGTCGCAAGGAGAAAAATCCAAGTAAATTTTGATTCACAGTTCACAATAGGAGATTCCGCAGTTCCGTATTCCTTTAAACTACCACACCAAGAAGAAGAAGAAGAAGAAGTGTTCCACCTTCCTGGTATTCCAGATCTCCGGTGATCGCAATTTTAGCTACAAACACTGGACTAAGCTATTCACACCTGTGAATTAATATTGCAATCACCGGAGATTTGGAATACCAGGAAGGTTGAATACTTCTTCTCGGTGTGGTGGTTCAAAGGAATACGGAACTACGGAATCCACTATTGTGAACTGTGAGTAAAGATTTACTTGGATTTCCCTCCTTGCGAATTTGTGTCTGGCTTACATTAGTAATTTGTTCTGTTCACTAGAGACTCCATAAGGTCGTTAATCACTACATTACAGCCCGATATATCCTAATAAAGCACGACGAGTGGTTATTTACGCTAATACAAAGGAGATTGATGAAACTGGTGTGTGAAATTCACAGTCAAATTCAGAGCGAAAAGCCAAACATATGCAGTCCTCGCCCCATGGGCATACTGAAGGATGCATCATGGCCTCATTCTCAATTAGCAAACCATGAAGAACGCTTTCTTCGGTTTATCACCTCTCGACCACAATTGTCACGAAAATGTGTCTTTTACTGGGCAGCCGGCCAACAGTCTTTGTTTTAGTCATTGCGAAATATTTCCCCTACTTTCAAGGCTGTCATTCGGGGACCCGCGTGGTCGTCCAGTGTTCTCGTGAACTTGCAACTGCAGTTGAAATTCGGTGTTCCGACGCTGGGGAAAAGAAAACGCTAGTGGCGACGTGCTTCGAAAAAAATCGACGCTGGGGAAAACGCTAGTGGCGACGTGCTTCGAAAAAAATAGGAAAACTGACTGACTAATGGCTTCCTCATTTGGACGTAGTGTGTTGTGTTATGAAGAGTCTATGGACTGTAGTATCTACAGTTAGTCATCCACTACACCACTGTACACGACGATCAAAGAAATGCTGGATCACTCTGTACTCTGCCCTGACATCATTTGTCAAAAATGTGTTTCTTAATTCAATTTCTAGTGAAATACTTCGCTTATTGTGGCATTCTTCTGAAAATTTGAATTTTGTTCCCACGGCTGAGATCCTGATCCACGAGATTCCATTGAAGTAAAAAAACATCGATCTTAGTTTTCTCAACACAAAGCACATAAAAGCAAGAAAACGCCACCTGATTTAGCTTCCCTGTAGGTCTAAAAAGATGGTCTATGAAAAAACAACTACTGTGGTGCTTTCGAAAGGCATGAGTCGTGCATCATAAGAAACACTTGGCGAATGCCAATTTTAGTTAACTGGGTTCTTCATAATAATAAATACTTACCAGAGGTTGCAAGTAAATCACATATTTTTTCTAAGGCGAGAACCCATCATACCTCTAAAGCAACCAAAGTAGGCGCGTCAACTTTCCTGTACTCTGCATTTTTAATCATAGTGGAATTAAACCATAAGTCCAAACTAGTGAACTAAATGTTCACCTAGTCAAATCCAACTATTTGTGAGGACGCAAGCTCCACAGAACAAGAATTAATTTTGCCTTCAATACATTCGCTACATGGTAAACCGAAATCAAACGACCTTAAATTTGCATGGACAACAACGATCCAGGGTATCAACTGTTGCAGTCAATTACCGCAAAATTCCTGATCTTCTATCCATTCTGAATAGTCAATATTTTTGGTACAGGTCTTTTGCAAACAAAATTACATGTGAAAACTTAATCATACTAAAGTACTGCGGCTTCCGAAGGGAGTTAGTTTCTCCCATCAAAATGTAGGTGACAGTATACAACCTGAACTGTAGTTTCAGCACAAAGGTACACACTGATACCATCTATCTTAACCATTTTAGTGCATTAACCAAGGCTACACGTAATGCTTCACTAAAAAGCAAGCAGCACGTGTAGATAACTATTCCCTCTTTACTGACTTCAGTCATACCTTATTTATGCAATAATAGCCTGTTGGGAAGGGCATATGATTGGCTCATCACTCAACAAGTTGTGATGAATCCAAAGAGACTGTACTAAAACACTTCTTACTTAAAGCATTAAAATACGACTTATTCTTGAACAGCTTTTCAGTGTACAGGTAAGGCATGCTAATGGGCTTAAGTCAAGACCGAAAATGAAACAAGTCATACCTGAAGCGTGGACAACATTCTGCAGCACACCTCTTGCAGGTCCCACTTTATCTTCCTGCCCCTTCAGACCTCAACCTCAAGGCACTAACCAACCTAACCAGATGTAAGTTGTTTTACACAATTCCAGAAAGCTGAAGAAATTGCAAGCAGACACTTCAGCTCTGTAGTGCTTAACGGCCCTATGGAGTCTCTAGTGAGCAGAACACATTACTAATGCAAGCCAAATACAAGGTCGCAAGGAGAAAAATCCAAGTAAATTTTGATTCACAGTTCACAATAGGAGATTCCGCAGTTCCGTATTCCTTTAAACTACCACACCAAGAAGAAGAAGAAGAAGAAGTGTTCCACCTTCCTGGTATTCCAGATCTCCGGTGATCGCAATTTTAGCTACAAACACTGGACTAAGCTATTCACACCTGTGAATTAATATTGCAATCACCGGAGATTTGGAATACCAGGAAGGTTGAATACTTCTTCTCGGTGTGGTGGTTCAAAGGAATACGGAACTACGGAATCCACTATTGTGAACTGTGAGTAAAGATTTACTTGGATTTCCCTCCTTGCGAATTTGTGTCTGGCTTACATTAGTAATTTGTTCTGTTCACTAGAGACTCCATAAGGTCGTTAATCACTACATTACAGCCCGATATATCCTAATAAAGCACGACGAGTGGTTATTTACGCTAATACAAAGGAGATTGATGAAACTGGTGTGTGAAATTCACAGTCAAATTCAGAGCGGAAAGCCAAACATATGCAGTCCTCGCCCCATGGGCATACTGAAGGATGCATCATGGCCTCATTCTCAATTAGCAAACCATGAAGAACGCTTTCTTCGGTTTATCACCTCTCGACCACAATTGTCACGAAAATGTGTCTTTTACTGGGCAACAGTTTTTGTTTTAGTCATTGCGAAATATTTCCCCTACTTTCAAGGCTGTCATTCGGGGACCCGCGTGGTCGTCCAGTGTTCTCGTGAACTTGCAACTGCAGTTGAAATTCGGTGTTCCGACGCTGGGGAAAAGAAAACGCTAGTGGCGACGTGCTTCGAAAAAAATAGGAAAACTGACTGACTAATGGCTTCCTCATTTGGACGTAGTGTGTTCGTACATGAAGAGTCTATGGACTGTAGTATCTACAGTTAGTCATCCACTACACCACTGTACACGACGATCAAAGAAATGCTGGATCACTCTGTACTCTGCCCTGACATCATTTGTCAAAAATGTGTTTCTTAATTCAATTTCTAGTGAAATACTTCGCTTATTGTGGCATTCTTCTGAAAATTTGAATTTTGTTCCCACGGCTGAGATCCTGATCCACGAGATTCCATTGAAGTAAAAAAAACATCGATCTTAGTTTTCTCAACACAAAGCACATAAAAGCAAGAAAACGCCACCTGATTTAGCTTCCCTGTAGGTCTAAAAAGATGGTCTATGAAAAAACAACTACTGTGGTGCTTTCGAAAGGCATGAGTCGTGCATCATAAGAAACACTTGGCGAATGCCAATTTTAGTTAACTGGGTTCTTCATAATAATAAATACTTACCAGAGGTTGCAAGTAAATCACATATTTTTTCTAAGGCGAGAACCCATCATACCTCTAAAGCAACCAAAGTAGGCGCGTCAACTTTCCTGTACTCTGCATTTTTAACCATAATGGAATTAAACCATAAGTCCAAACTAGTGAACTAAATGTTCACCTAGTCAAATCCAACTGTTTGTGAAGACGCAAGCACCCGCTGTGGAAAGTTCCTCGTCAATCAACTGGCTTCCATGACGTGGTTATGAGGTTGCCTTACATCGTCGGTTGCCTCCTCAAGGGCAGCCGTTCCATAAACTGGAATGTTGTTCAAACGCTCTCAGTTTTCAGTGTTGCCGTGTTGAGTGTTGTTATAAAACCCATTCTAAACACATTTCCCCATTTGACACCGTCTGCCGACTGCATGCTGCAATGCAGCTTACCAGCTGGTTGATCAACCTGGATGTAGTTGAAAAAATAGCGTCGCCACCTTGTTTTTTTATTGGTTCTAGTGATGATTTCGGAACAAGAGTGGCTTCTGGGGCTAGTTGAAGGCCTCAGATTCGGAAGTGGGTCGTCCAGGATATCATGATAGATCACACATCTTCTCAGTTAGGAGGTGGGTGTGCCACCAGATATTGAGCGAAAACATAGCAACTGCTGGCACGTTGGAATTCTCCTAATATTTTCCTGACCAATTTTCTTTTCTTTCGTCTTAATATTTTCAAATGTTTGGGCCCTTACATTGCCCGATTCTTTCATACTTCCACCAGCTTTTTAAGTTGCTTCACTGTTCTTTCCATTATTATTTTATACAACACAAAGGAAACCTTAAAATATTCACTTTACGCATTTCCAGTTTTGTGGCACCACTGATATCGATAAGCATCCTACTCTACCGTCGCAGAGCCTATCCCAATCCTTGAAGCTCTTAGTCCCAGACTTCAGATACCGCCCATCATGAGAAGGTATTTCTACCTGCAAATCCACTGAGCAAATCTTGAGAAGAACAACCCAGTTAATCACCTCTCGGGTCCTTTGGCGCGCGTGTTTACTGGTTGGCGAACGTACCACCCAACCATCTATGTGGCAGATCCACGCTCGAACAATCGAGTAACACGGCTTCTAAAAAGGCGTCTCACATACCACAGTCCACTGGTAGACAGGGTATTGCAAGTAAATATTTAGACGCTAGCCTTCCTCTTGAAGTCAACTTAAACCCATTTAATGGAGCGTTTTGCAATTTTCAAGACCATTGAATCTATATTCCTTCGGAATTGCTGACGATTTCACCGAGCGCATACAAGATTCTTACAATGAACGGACTAGGGAACCCAGGGCCAAAAGCGGACATTTCAGTGGCATAAGTACCTCCAGTGGGAGCTTGAAAGATGTAGCTCTGGACCGGGATGTTTCCTCAAGAAATAGTTAGGCTAATCCCTGGAGCGGTACGTGGTTTCAGAGCAGTTTCCGTAATCCGAGAGGGTCTGGGAGAAAGCATAGTGATAACCTCCCTCTGAACAGTTCTACCAAACCGTCAAAGAAGGCAGTTGATAAATAGAAAACTGCGCGGTTGATGTTGCGGACAGGTTATGAGACACATCTGGAGGATGGGTGGGACAGAGTTTCGGCCTAAAAATCAGTGGATGCTGTTGCGCGCTACCAGCGTCCACACCAAATCAGATGAACTCTGCAGAATAGCTTTGACCCACTTAACCCGGGGAAACAGCATTCACGAGGCTTACCCACTATTCTTACCCCACCAAACGGCAACCTCCTCAATGATAACGACCCACTGTTTTAGGCGAAGGCTTTTGGGGCCATCAAACCACCCTGAAAGTTTGCTCTCAATGTACTGTCTGCAAGTATCCAAGCGCCGGTTCAAGAACCTCCTCCGCAGTGCACGCCACCCTCGGATTTCAAATGACCAAGGACCCCATCAGGACCTTCAACTTTTCAGTCAGACGCTCGAATTCTCGTCTACTCAAGATAATGAAAGCCAAGTGTCCCAGCATTACTCACTTATTTCATTGCCACAAGTTGCTTATTACCTTTAAACTCAACTCCGTCTGGGCAAGCTCCACCTTCCTTACTAGGGGACGACCGCGCCTGCGCAAAATACTAAAGATTCGAGCACAGAAAGGGTCTGAAGATTGGTGATAAATCTCTCGGTCCCCTGGATACACGAACCTGGGCATACAACATAAGGTTTTCCAAAACTGCCGACTTGATCTAGTCACTCGAATCGGAGTCAATGCAATCTGTCGCGCCTACGGCCATAATCATTTCACATTTCCGCCGTTGGCAAGCAGTGAAAAGTCAGCTAGCTTTTCAATCCGAAGTCACTTCGTTTAACCTGTCGGGATCACGATAGTATCAGTTTCACATTTTCGCGCTGTGTTTCTCATGGTGTTTCTCTGCAGCAGAAGCCGACCCTCAACTTAATTCCTAGGAGCCTATAATAAGATGACATATCGCCAGTGCTGGCCTGCTCCACCAGTTTTTCGTAGTTCGCCAACCTCGCAAATAAAGCAATCCTCCCATGGAGTTTCACGAAAATGTACATTTACACGCCATGTATCACTTTTCCATCTGCGGCACTGCCCTGCTCTATTTAATAGAATTTTCCACTTCGATTGCCTCTACTCGCTTGGTCTAAAGCACTGTAAGTTGCCTAACGTTGTCCTCTTTATCTCACTTTTACGGTTCTACCGCTATAAATCTACAAGGATCACTACTCACCTAGGTGTCCTTTATGCTGGGCACTGTTTTAACCAGGCCCTAGGCCCTACCACTAAATGCCACTAATAGCTTTCAGTATGTTCATGTGCATCAATCATTTTGCAATGCCTATCCTGATTACCCCAGCAAAAACGACGCCCATAACAGTCTGGCCTGCGGAGTCACGACAGACTATCTCGTCGGTATATCCCCCAACCAGAGTTTGTCAATGAATTAGCCGGGGGCGGGGACCAGCGCCTTGTGGACCGGTGTCGAACCTTGTCCGTCGTCCCAACAAACAGTGCATAACGCCAGGTTTGCGGTCCGGGCAAATACGTAGCCACCCAGTTCCCAGACTAACCACGCATACAATCTCTCACAAGTTTTTGTTACATGTTTCACACTGTCTAACTTCCCGGCAGCCCAAAACATTGTACCAGTCGTATACGGTTCACAGCTGATAAATTGATTGGTTTTGATCGTCAAGTATACCCCTGTGAAACACCAATATATCAGGCACCCCCGATTTTTTACAGCAAATTTCTTCCTCCGTCTAACAGTCGTTTGATTTCATTGAGATATGGTTTGGCCAGCTAAATTCTATTACCAAAAGCTCCCAATTTTATTCACCTGTCCTTTCTGTTCTATCTTTGCCTACCCAATAGCCTAGATGTTTCAATGGTGCCCAAATGCGTCTTCATTCGTTTCTACTTCTATATATTATACACATTTTTCCACAGTTCAAGATACTCGATGGGGTCCCCGCGCCATTTTTCTCTCTGTGAAAAAATTTGCAGTTCACACAATAGCCAGTACCAGTTAAGAATGAATTCGCGACTTATATAGGAAATATTTTGTATCATCCCAGTGGGCGCCTAGCCAGATAAAGCCATGGAGTTTGTCAAGGCTGGTAAGCTTGCTGATTCTTTTATGATGGTTAGCGCACACTGCATCGGATGCACGGTAAAGTTTTATTTTAACTTTTACGTGGCACCTAGATAGTGCTATTGGAAGAATTCGTGGGCTACTTGGCGGAAAAAGCAGACGCTGCAATAGGCTGGCCAGTGCTTTGGAGTTCTGGGACAAATTCTACAGGGTGACACGGAATTGTGGGCGACTGTAGCATGCTCGGCTGGGAAATGGTAGAGGCATGATAAACCATGTGCAAAACATCAGACTGGGAATGACAGTCACAGTACCGACATCGTGACGTCATTCTTAGGTTCGCGATCAGCCATGTAAATGATCATCTTGGATGAGTCATTTGAGAGGTGTCATGGTATTTAGGATTGACCAAGAAATCATGATAAATTATAACCAACATAGATCAAGGATGTTCTTGGGTTTATCAGAGGTGCGTGATACCAGAACTTACAAGAAGGCAAAAGGGGGCCGTTTTGCGCAGTATCGTTGAGGTGGAATATAAATTCACGAAATATACAAACTCTGACAGTAGACTCTCATCCAAAACAAATAGTTCACTTGAAAAACGATAGTACAAGCCAGATGAGCAAGCAGGCTTAAGCGCGAGACAGTAACGCGCTTATAATTTTGCCCGAATATGTCGGGGTGACTTCAAGGACAAACGAGTGAATTGGTCGATAAAACAAACGCCGGTTCATACGCACTCACTGAACACAAAGAATACAAACAGAGATATAAGAAGCCCAAAAAGCTTTAATTTCGAAGTTATGGACGATACATGTGATCATCTGCTAAGTAAATTCATGGTTTATGGTTTAGCGGCGGCCTATGCAGTCACCAAGATAGATGAACCCACCATTAAGTTCAAGCACCTTGTTCTGGAGGTTAGCAAGAGAATAGGGGGTGAGAAATCTGGAACTGGAAAAGAGCCCTGAAAATAACACTCGTAACAATAAGAGATCATCCCAGATATTCTGGTTAAAGTTCTGTGGGTGGACAAACAATCCTCGTTTAACGTAACTGTGTCGCCCACAAATTCCGCATCGGATTATCCCACTTCAGATGTAATTTCGACATCTGCATTAAATCCGTTAAAGTGTACAATCCATACTGTCGTTAGTGGCACAGTCTGACAAAAAATAGGTGATGCTAGGCTTCTGGACACCTCTCTGTACATCCGGACACAGCCGAACATATAAGAATAAAGGAGGAGGTGGATGTTTATAAAATTCAAAGGCATGTTGCCCTGGATGAGAACTTTGGTGGACACTGAGAACCGTTTACTTGGGAGTGGCTTGAGCCTCCCGGCTGGCTGGTAGAAATAGCCAGCAGCAAAATAGCCGGCGAGGAGCCGACCTGAATAATTTACTCCCGAATACCCCAACCAGATATAATAATAATTTAGCTTTTCAAGGAACCATCTACCGGAGATATCTCCGTTTGTGTAGGAAATCAGGAAGCGTTTATAT